ATGAAAATGGTTTTGCTGAGTTCAAAGAAAATTTTGATGTGAACGGTAAGTTAAAGATAAATGTGGGGTCAAGAGGTCAAAAGATCCAGAGGTCAATAGATCAGGAAGTCAATAGATCAAAAGGCCAAAGGATCAAGAGGTCAATACATCAAGAGGTCAATAGATCAAGAGGTCAATAGATCAAGAAGTCAATAGATCAAGAGGTCAATTGGTCAAAAGGCCAAAGGATCAAGAGGTCAATAGATCAAGAGGTCAATTGGTCAATATTCCAAAGGCTCAAGAGGTCAATAGACCCAGAAGTCAATAGATCAAGAAGTCAATAGATCAAGATGTCACTAGATCAAGAAGTCAATAGATCAAGAGGTCACTAGATCAAGAGGCCAAAAAGTCAATAGATCAAAAAGACAAAGGATCATGAAATGATAACAAACGCCCCAAAAACGTCGCACACTTTTTATTGTAATTTAGATTTTCCATTCTTTTATTATATCGGGGATGTTTTGAAGTGTTCCCATCTGATTGTACACAATGATAATAATGATAATGACATTGTACACAATGATAATAATAATAATGACATTGTGCGCAATGATAATGGTATTGTGCACAATGATAATGGTATTGTAAACAATGATAATGATATTGTACACAATGATAATAATAATAATGATATTGTAAACAATGATAATGATATTGTAAACAATGATAATGATATTGTACACAATGATAATGATATTGTAAACAATGACAATGATATTGTAAACAATGATATTATGTTTAACAGAAGATGGGGTGGTAGAAGTCGAGGAGTATGAGACACTCGCCTCCAATGGTAAGTTACAATATCTTTTTAACGAGACAGACAGATCGACGCTTTCTTTATATTGACGATATCTAATCTTGTCGGTCACTTAGCATGAAATCTGTACTTATTTCATGATTGCCAAATTTTACAGACTTTGACCTGCTATAGATTTGGAATTATATACGTACATGCTATCTTTCTGCTTATACGTACATGTTTATTTCCTTGCGCTATCCAGATTTTCCACCCAAAGTATATTACCGAGCAGTGGTGGCGCCAGTGGTGGTACAGGGGCTACTAAAATGGTTTGCACCCCCATAATCCTATATTTTTGACATGAAAATTGACAGTTAAATATGTTTAGTTATATTTCAGAAAACAAAGTGAATGAGACAAAAGAAAAAAGATGGAAATGATGATTTTGAACCGCCAAAATTTGACCAGATTTTATAATGTCAACGTGGAATAAATTATTGCAGCATACATATATTTTGTTGTTTTCCATTCCCAACAAGGAATCGTTTTTATCTACCACCCGAAGTCTTTCCGCCCGGGAGCATACTAGTAGTCTGGCTTTAATAGGGTCTTTGTGTATTTTAATGG